GCCTCTGGTGCTGCTGGCGTGGCAGTGACCAAGCAAAAGGAGTCACTCAGCCATTTCATGGGGGAAAATCCTGCACTAGGAACTTCCCTGCTCTGCCTGCCTGTGTGATCTGGTGTTGCCTTGTGTGCAGCCAAGCCCTGAACCTGCTCTGCGAGTCCCCAGTGCTCGGCACGTGCAGGGCAGCCAGCAATGCCTTCCAAAGCCTTTGGGTCTCCTTTATCAGGAGTGGGAGGCAGCTTGGGTTCACTCTGAAGTGCTTTGGCAGGGCTGTGATATTAAGCTCAGGATCCCAGCCAGTTTTCAACTTGAGTTTACATTTTGTCTTCCTAAATTGCCCTGACTCCCACTACCTGTTGCTGCCATTCACTAAACAAAAACAAACGTAGAGGCTGGAGAACAGCTCTTGGGTTCTTGCTGAGAAGTGGCTGCATTGCAGTGAAAGATCCATTCAGGAAGGGAAAATTCCTTCAGCCCTGCTCCTTCTTGGTGCACAATCCTTTTCCTGTTTTCCAGATGCTGCCTCTAAGCATGCTACCCAGGCCTTCTTTGACTGTCTGCGAGCAGAGGTGGAGCAGTATGACATTGAAGTGACAGTTGTGAGCCCTGGATACATCCAGACAAACCTGTCCCTCAACGCTGTCACAGCGGATGGATCTCGCTATGGAGGTGAGAGACCTCTCACTGCCCTATTTCTGAAGCATTTCCATGTTATTAGAAGGTGTGTTTGCAACACATGGCCTCTGGTGGGAACACAGGTTAGCCCTGAAGGATCAAAAACAAACTTTGGATGCAGGATAGCAACAGCAAGCCCCAAAATTTAGCTTTCCCAGACAGCAACTATAGCCCTCTGGGCCAACCATGAGGAACACCTACACAACTGGAATAAAAACCAAAACAAGCAGCCATGTGCAGTTAGAGCATTCCTAGGAAAGGTACCTCAGTGAGGGTTTACCTGCTGGTGTTGCTGCTCACTCAGCTTTCCCTTGGCAGTTATGGACAAGACCACGGCTGAGGGACAGACGGCGGCTGAGGTGGCTCAGGTGGTTCTCAATGCAGTGGGACAGAAGAAGAAGGAAGTGCTTGTGGCTGGCCTGACGCCCTGCCTGGCTGTCTACCTGAGGAACCTCTGCCCCAGACTCTTCTTCACCTTAATGGCATCTAGAGCAAAAAAGGAGAAGAAAGCAAAGGGCTCTTAGAGCTCAGCTCCCTTGAGCAGGGAGAGGCTGAGCCCCTGCAGTCGGCTGGGACATCACTGGAGGTGCTCCTGCAGGAAAATCCTTTCTCAAAATGCTGTTTACTATTGCATGGAGACTGGGAAGTGGTTTCCCCCACACTGCTGGAGTATAGCACCTAAACCTCAGCTGGAGAAGGAGGGGTGCTCGGACAGTGGGGGAGAGCTGAGGCTGCAGGGGAGGGGTCAGGGGAACACTGCAGCCGGGGAGGCCCCTGGCTGGGAGACTCCTCACCTCACTCCAGGCATGCTCAGCTTTACTGGCCTGCTACAAATAAAACCCACCTGTTCTGCCTTCACACCAGCAGACCTTGGCTGTTCCCACCCCTGTGAAATACAGTCCTCAGCTGGGAGCTCTCGTGATCAGTGTCTCATTCCCACACCTTCCAATCTGATCCAGGACATGCTGCATGCAGTGGGAAACTTCAGAGCCTCTTCCTTTACCGTGCCAAGTCATCTGGTAAATTAAGCTCAATCCAGTGCCACTTTTAAAGAAGTAACTGATGTACAATTTGGGTGTATTTGGCCATCATTTTACCTGTCTGAATCATGCCCTACTGATGCAGTGGGACAGTTAATTCTGCAGTGACAGCGCTCTGTGAATCCCAGCCCAAGGAATGCATGGAAGCACTGAACAGGTAGAACACAGCAAGGCATCTGCTGCCAGGACACAATGCACAGGTGACAGGAACACACCTGGGCCACCTGCAGCACAGAGCAGGTGTGATCCTGTGGATGCCAGCCACTCTCTGGCACTAGAGAAGAATCCATGTGTGTAGGGTGCAGAGTGTAGCAGACAGACCCTTTGTTCTCATCTGCTTTAAAGCAATCACAGATACTAATTAGTATCACATCCAGTGAGGAATGATATATGCCTGTTCAGGTATCACTTCAGGGAGCCTGACATCCTGAAGGGGTGCCATGTTCCACTCCTCACCCCTTCTCCTCATGCGAGGGACAGCAGCACCACTAGGAAAAAGGAATTGGCTGCCCCGAGATAGGACAGAAATAATCTTAAAATTGAAATAAACTCTACTAGTAGGAACCAAGGTCCAGACCCCTCCTGCCACCTCCATGCACTTGCCAGCATTTTCCATGTGTCCTGCCTCACGTGTCCTGCCTGGGAGTGCACATCTGATGACAATTACAGTGCTATGAAATTAATCCCTTGGTCTATTCCAGCTCCTCACAGCACGTAACATAAGAGGAAGGAAAAGCAGGAGGGTTTTGTTTTTCTTTTCTTACATCCCTGCAAGGTGCTGTTGTACCAGCAGTAGCTGCAGAACAACATACTTTATCCCATCCCTATTTATGGGACCTGCTGGCTTAGTGTGAATCCACACAGAGGATTAGTCACACAAACTCTGATACCGGTGTGCAAGCTCAAAAGGACCTTCTCCTTCTAAAAGCCTTTTCTTAACCACTTCAGATTTATAAATGATCTCTTGAGAACCAGGATGTGTTTAATGATGACAATGCTGCTGCTCTGTCAGGACATCCATGCTCTGCCACCTTCCCTGTGGCTGAGGCTGCAGCTGTGTCACAGAAAGGCCTTGGGTTCGACTGACAAGTTGAAGCTTTCAGGTGTGCAGACACCTTTTTTCCTGTTAAGATAGGAAAGCAAGACATTACCTTCTCTGCCTCTCCACAAGGGGAGTGTTGGTGTTAGTTGTGCTTTTCCTTATGTTTCCCATGCTCAGATCCTCAGTTTCTCAGTGAATTGCAGTGCTCCTACCAGGCTTGTTCAGCTGCTCCATGTTCTGGTGTTTCAGGTCATGGCTACCCAGGAAGGACCGAGGGGCTGCTTTGCATTTCTGTGTTCCCATCCAGGGCACTGAGGGTGAAACACATCAGGCCTGAGGGAAAAATTATGTGTGGGGAGTTACTGTAGTTACTGTGGGAACTACAGCTCCAAGGCAGAGGTTGCTGAGGGTGCACCCATTCCCTTTGGAAGTAAATTCCCTCTCTGTGACAGGGGGAATGCTGCACACTCCAGAGCACATCCACAATGGGTAGGGTGGGCAGCAAAGTGTGGGGGCTTCTGAAGGGAGGTTTGTCCCCAGCCACTGTTATTCCACTGAGCTACTGGCACTGGGGACAGCAGATACAGCACCACTCCACACGGATGAGAAATTTTTTGAAGTTGTTTTACCATTTCACTGTGCACTAAAATACCCCTGAGGACCTCTCTAATTCTCCCAGGTCACTTTGTGCAGCTACATCCCTGACTGACTAACAACCAGAATGTTAAAAAGCATTTTAGCTATGTTAACACTGAGATTCCTTGGAAAACAAGCTCCTCAGCCCCTCCACCTCAGAATGGAGTAACAGCTGGTTTTGAATCAGACCTACCCATTGTGACAGCTAAGCTGACTTTTCACCTTTCCTCCTGCAGTAAGAGACCCCAGGAAACTTGCTAATTTTTAATTCCAATCTCTGATGCCAGCCATGCATTTAGGGAACCTGCCATAGTGATCATTCCAGACCAGGGGAAGCTTTACACAAAAAAGTACCAGGACCCCAGAGGTTTGGTGCAGGAAAGGAACTAGCAGGTCTGAGAATTATTCTGCACTGAGTAAAACAAAGACCAGGAACACCTTTGGTGTGGCCAGCACAAAGGTACTTCATGTGTAGCAGTAAGCAGTATTAGCTGTGGCAGATGTGCTGCTGGCTTCAAATCCATCCAGCAGGGACTCCGGAGACACGTCAGGGTGGAAGGGCAGCCTGCCCAGCCTGGCCTAACCACTGAAAGATGAAGTAGTTGCATTTCTTTGGCTCCTCTCTGCCAAGGCAACTGTACATTGTTGCTATAAATAGACACTCTGGATCCCAGCTTCTTTTAACCTTGGAGGGAGAGAGCTCAGCCACTGTACGAAGAGCTGCTGCCACCCAGAAATGTCTCACTGCCACTGGAGCTCCTGCAGCCCACTCACGTACAGCTGCCTGTGCTGGTGCTAAGGACTGAGAACACCCAGCAAGCCCAGTTTGCCCAGCACACCACAGTGGGCTGCATGTCCTGCTCACAGAAAAACTGCCCCAGCAGAGAAGCACAAGTCAGAACCGTGGTCAGAACAGCCATGGAGGTGAGGACAGGAAGAGTCCTTGGTGCTTGCTGTGGCAATTTGGAGAGATAAAGACAGAAAAGCAGAATTTGGGGTCTGACCCCTGTCAAGGTCAGTGTTTCAGCTGTGAAGGGCAGGCTGCAGCTCCCACTGGAGCAGGGAGCACACAGTGCACAGGCAGCTCTCACTGCAGGCCTTTGCTCTCCTATTCCAAATGTAACACCTGGAGCAGTGCCAAGCTGGCCCTGCCAATGCCAGCCACACCTATTCTCCATGTGGTGGGAGGAGATTACAGCCAGCAAGCTCCTATCTTTTAAAAATAACTGGCAGATCTCACAGAGGAGTAAATGCCTTCCCATTCTAAGAACAAGATTTTGAGTTTAGAGCTAAAAAATGAATTAATGCACAGTACTGAATTCTAAAATTTCAGGTAACACAGTTACAAGATGCAGTCACGTGGATGCCTTGCAGCAGGAGCAGGCAGCTCCTGTGTTCCAGGCAAAAGCAGTGGAATTGTGTGGTCAGGGCACAGCACAAAGGTAAGGCAAGTAGGTTCCCACCTTGGCAGCCCCCAGCCCTGCTTGTGGCTCAAGGCATTTCAGAGATGTATCCACCTTAGGAAGAACTCCTACAAGAACTAAGCAGAATGTGTTTGTAGCTGGACACTTATAGTGGTATCACTATGATAACAGTGACAAGAGAGCAAGAGCATTTGAAATTCTCATCCTTTAATGGTCAATGATAACTTCTGGCTGGTTCTGTGTAATACAATTAAACAATATACTTAAATGTTTCCCAAAAAAAAAAAAAAAAAAGGAAAAAAAAAGAAAGCAGCTCTCACACCCCTTCTTTCTATTGCTTTCTTTCATCGACATTCTGCTGCTGGATTGGACTCCCCTGGCCTAACATACGGATCTCAAGTCACCACACATCCACATCTCAAGTGTAACGAAGAACTGAAAAACCTTGGTGCACCAGTGATGTGTTATTTGAAAAATAACAGCTCTATTAAACCAAATCCTTCCCAGTCTCCACCGCTTCTCAAAGAGGAAAAACAAAATGTTACTGTGGGAGTCTTAATACACTTGTCTTTGTGGGTTTCTCTCTTCCCTGCTGAAGTCATACAGCGTAGAGTTCATAGATCTTCTTTACACAGTACACCAGGGCAGCGAGTGCTATCGTGTTGTGCAGTCTCTTTCTGTGCAGGTCGTCCTTCCTCACCAGCACCACGGGAGTGGACGAGGTGAGCGTATGCAGGGGCAGGCGCGAAAGTTTATAGGCATCGTACTCGACCTGGTACTTGCAACAGGGATCAAACTGCCAAGAGATCCCGTAGAGGGTGCAGCAAGCCACGCTCAGCACTCCAGCGGGCAGGGAGATGTAGTGAGAATAATCTACTGGCAGTGCCAGAGGGGTGAAGAGGCAGGTGGTGCCCGCCAGCACGGCCGTCTTGTGCAGGCAGTTCCCCACGGTGATCCAGCGCGCCGTCTCGTCACCGATGCGCGTGGGCTCGATCACGATGTACTTGTACTGCGCTTCCAGTGCCTGCTCCAGCTCGTACTCAAACTGGTCCTGAGCATTCTCCCCGTTGTAGATCTCGTGCACAATGTAACAGTCCGTGGAGGACAAGGTCACCCTGGTAAGGGGAAATGAAGAATTAAAACTACAGGGCTGAAGGACAGGCCGTTCACCCACCCGGCTGGGAGAGCAGGACAGAAGTGCCTCAAGTGAGGGCAGCCCCTCGAGGTCACTGCCTCTGTTTCACAACCAGCAGCTTCTCAACTCAAGCTTCATTTTGCATCAGCTGATTACTCCTGCTGTACAAGAATTCATCCCAAAAGAAGGCAACATATTTTTCTTACCTTTTCCTAACTTGGAGGATCTAGAACAATTTGAGAAATAGGGTCTTGTAACAGTCCTGAAATGCTTTCTCACACTGATACCCAAGCAGTTTCTTTGGAGAGAGCAGAAGTGTCACACCTTAGTGACCACAACGCATCACTGAACAAACCACACAGGCTTCAGGAGCTTTCACAGAAACCAAGACAAGCAGCTCATTGATCCAGGAGGACAAGCTGCTCTGGGAGGTTTGGAGAGAGGAAGCATCTCCAGATGAATACATTTGCTTTCTGCTGCAGCTTACTATTTAGTCCTCTATATTAACACAGCCTGGTAAATCCAACAAGGATGGCCAAGGAACACTGCTGAAAGGGAAAGTGAAGAAGGCAGCAGAACATTCAGTTTTTGGCAGAATGCTTCACTCCGTCTCCTGAAGTGGGATGCAGTAAAGCAAGATACAAGTAACTTTTTAACCCAGGCAGACTTAAGCAATGAAGAAAGAGCTGCTCACTTCATCTGGGAGCCCATTTCATACTCAGGGAATTCAGGGAACTTGTATTGGAGCAGCAGCTTTTAGCTACATAATGTCACATCAATTTCTACCTTCTTCACCACATCACCTTCCATCTGCAGCTACATTCACATACAGACTGCTAAGAAATAGGATTATGATTGTTTACCTGCTCTGAGAAAGGGTAAAAACCTATCCATCAGAACCAAGCAAAATTCTCCCTTCTAAGCAGAAATTAATATTTCTGACATACTTGTGCTTAACCAGAGCAAAACTGAGCACGTGGCCTAGCAAAGATAAAAATATCTAGCAGATTCCTTTGGCAGAAGGAGAACAACTCACACATCTGACCTGATCACAGCAGACAAAACAGCCTCATCCCAACATCATTTAGACCCCCGTGATATCAGGAGGAACACACTGCTGATGTAGAGAACAGAATGAGCACTTTTTGCTCCATTAGTACAGTGGTACTTATGTGCATGCACTGGAAAATAAGGGAGAAAAATACACATTCACAAGCTGCTGTTGCCAAACATTATCCTTAATGTGCAGCTCCACTCAGGCTGCAAAGGGGATTGAGCAGTGGCCAGCTGTAATCAAGAATATTGTTAAATTACAAGCTGTTGCAGACATGCTGGGTTTGTAACAGCAGCAAACATCAACCAGCAGGACCTGAGAGGCACCACCTTCTCCCAAAGCAGAGTCATAAGCAGTTTCATTAAAAGTCCAGCTGGAATTTATATAACCTACAAGGAAAACTCAACTTACAGTGTAGTTATTGAGTTCCTTGCAGTGCATTTCCCCTTTGGCCTGTTCATGGGTAGAAAGAAAAATAAAAATCCACCTTAATTCTGTGTATGCCGGGGGCTTCTTTAGGGCAAAGAGCTTGTCAGACATTGTTGAGAAAATTACCATTAACCCTTTAAGCACAGGATGTGGTGGGCTCTGCTGTTCTGCAGTGAACTGAAGTATTTAAAATTTAAGGACAGGACCTATATAAGGAGTTTCTAACAAGAAACCAGTCAAGCAGGTGTTACACTGACACCAAGGACACAGCTGGTCATGGTTTCTGCCAAGGATTCTTTTCCCTGATAACAGCTGCTCCAAGTGCAGCTTCTGCTAAATCAGAAATTCCAATTTCATTGCAAAAGACATATAGAGGCTTAAGGTAACTGCACACCACCACCCATGACTTTGTGAAACCACTTGCTAGGGCATAATGATTTCATGGAAAAGCTATTGCTGAAAGGCATTGTCAAGCTGGAAGCCAACCCAGTGCTAACACAACCCTCCAGACAAAATAATATATTTCCAACTTTCAGTGTTTTGTAATACCTGGGAACATGCAGATGGGTCTGCAAAACAGAGAAGCAGAATTCAAATTCAACTAAGAACTTCCCAGAGGCTTAGGAACAGCACAGTTGTTGTCATTCAGATCTCCCTGTCATCACTGGGAAAACATGGATGAAGTGAGCCCATTCCTTCCCCGCCTGTACAAGAGCCATTGGGAACGGAGCTTCTAACTCCAAGAATTCAGTATCTACATTACATGAGATTTCTCCAGGCTCAGCACCAGGACACGTGGCACTAACCCATCAGCCTCATTTCTCCTTGCTCAGTTCTTGCCTTTTCTTCCCTCTGAACACCTTTTTTTTCCTTTCAGCATCATTGCACAAGCAGATCCACACCACAAACAGCCACCTGTCAGCAGGAATCCAACAGACTGGCCAGAGGCAGCACTGTCCATCTCCTCTGGAATTTTTTGGCTTGCCAGGCTCTGGGGCTTTATAACAATGAAGATGAGAAAAGCACAATCCTCCAATGCCAAAATAAGCAGAATTTAAAGTATGTTCTGCTGGGAAAAATAAAAATCACTGGGAACTGAACAGCACAAAGACTTCATCCATGAAAAAGTCTGCCCCCCAACTGTGCTGTTTCTCCAAATGAATCCTCTAAAATCAGAATAAATCTGTATCATAGTGCTGAAGCTGAAAATGGCAAAACAGCCAATCCAAAAATGACAATTGAAAAGATATCTGCTCAAACAGGACATGTGAAGAGTCAGCAAGGCAGGCAGCAAGTCTCTATTTCTGCACAGGGAGGTGGGGTTATCATGTATTACTTCCACACAAGAACTGGCTGCCCCTGGAGTACGGAAAGCTGAGAACTGTTTGGATTTCAGATGATACAGAAAAAGACACAGATATGTGGGCTTGAGGAGGTTTCAGCTGAGGACTTCACAGAGGCAACTCTCCTGACACAGCCTTTCCATTGAACAAAGCTGCTGCACATGAACAATTCCAGTCAAAGCAACTGGATTTGCTCAAACACTGGAGGCCGTGGAGTTTGCCTTTTGGAGCTTGTCACCCATCCCCAGCCATGACAAACACAACTGCAGAGCTGTGCAAGCAACTCTGAGCTGGCATCCACCACCTATCAAATGTGGGGATTTTATATAAACTCCAACTTACTTAAAAGAATAGTAAATAACCAGAGAGCACCCAATGCCAGAAGACATAAAATGCTGCCTTCATTAGCCTGACAGGCTGTTCACTAGATAGAACAAAGCCTGAAAGCAGTTGTTAATATTATTCAATCAAATGATTTTCCAGGACCTGTAAGAGGGCACAGTTAAAACGTTGTACAGCTGTTCTATAGGAATAGTTCTAGGCCTTACATCCAAATATTTGTTCTATTGCAGCTTCAGGCATTCTATGTTTGAGAACTTTTAGTGTCTCATTCTTGGTGCTGAACAAATGCCTGGATGAGGGAATGTGACAGAACTCTCAGCATTCAGCACAGCAAGATGTAAATCACTTAAAGCTCAATGATGTCAAATTTTAGTATTGCCAAAGTTATAAATAAGGAATCCATTGTTAACAGAGCTACAGCAGCAGGAGAGGCAGAAGTGTCTGTTAGCTATACAGCAAGCTTCAAATTACACTTGGATTGTCTTCCTAACATGGGAATATGGGAGAGCACCAGGAGAGGGTGAACAATAGCAGCTCCAGCAGTTCATCAAATCCTGAAATGGTTTGGGTTGCAAGGGACCTCAAAGCCCATCCAGTTCCAGTCCTCTGCCATGGGCAGGGACACCTTCCACTATCCCAGGTTGCTTCAACCTTGGATACTGGCCTTGGACACTTCCAGGGATCCAAGGGCCTTCCCACCCTCACGGGGAAGAATCTCTTCTGAAATTCCAGTCCTCAGAGCAGTTCCATTTCTCTGCCTCCACCTTGGAAGCAGGCTCCTCAAAATAGCAGCCTGCCTGGTAAAAGGAAATTTCAACTGGATAGTCTTTATGGATGAAGAAATAAGTAACATTGCAAAGAGGAGGCACAATACCATTCTGTGTGAAAATACCTTCCATTTTGCCATGTGCCAAGTGGCAAAAGCAGAACCAAAGGAACAGAGCACTGAGAACAAGGCAAGGGAAAACACTCTGGGAGAACCCTCGGTATCCTCCTACCACTCCCACCTGCAGGGAGAACTGAGCCTCCTGAGTTTGTTGCCTTGAACCTAATGGCATCTGCCAGACAGACTTTTGGTGAGGGTTTCCAGTTATCCAACTATCTCAGTTCTGCAAATGCTCAAAATCACACCTGGAAACAGTCTTAAGCTGCACAAGCAGAGTCTGGGCAAAAATAAAAGTTCTTTTGAGCCCCTCCCATAATACATAGGTAAAGTTTTGTTAAAGTTTTCTTTCCTGGGCAAGAGTTTTGCTTGGAGCACCAAACAGATTAACTGAAAATGAAGACCAGTTTGATAAGTAGTTAAAAAAATTAGAAAGGAGAAGCTTGCAGCAGTGTGATAACACCTGGTCACAAACAGCACACACAGTCCAGCTCAGCAATGCAAGAGGGGTTTCATGCAGGCTGTGCAAGATCTCAGAAAGGACATTACAGATGGCCAGAGCATGTCTGGGAGTATTGTCAGCATCTCAGCCAAGCTGAAAGAAGTCAACAGAGACAAGGCATGACAAATTATTCAAACACTAAACTTCCCTCCCTCCAACATAAATCCTTCCTGAAATTTAATTTAATTTCAAGATTAAGGAATGAGCTGTGGCCTGGCTTTAATTCTCAGTGGAAATATTCCACCTCCCAGTCATATTCCCCAGTGTATGTTTCTACTCAGGATATGGTGCACAGAAAGCACAAACAACCCTAAACACCTGGAGAATTTTTTCTCTGAAGGTCCCCACAATCTACCAGGCTCAAGCCCTCAGCCAGGGCTGTCAGGCCTGGGGCTTTAAGAAGGGCATTCAAGCAGAGGAAGAACAGGAAATGCAGGGCAATAAAGCAAGACTTTAATTCAAAAGATGCACCTTAAATTCAAATAGCAAAAAGGACAGGAGAACATTGGGAAGCTCTTCAAACAGCCTTAGGGAGGGACAACATTCCCTGAACACTAAGGAAAACATCACCAGACCATTACAACAAATCCAGCCCCCAGACAACAAGGAGGTGTCAATTTTAAGTCAACTAATGATTAGCCAGGCTGATGGAAATAGGTCAATCATTGCTGCAAGCAGAGTACCAGAAATCTGAGCAGTGCAGGTAGCGAAAGGAGAGCTCTGGGAGGGCACAGAGGAGCCAGTGCAGGCAGTGGTGATGACATGAAAGCTGTTCTTTCCAGAGTTTGTCAGACCATCTCCCAGGGGAACAAACGACATGCTGTCCACTGCTCTGGCGGGCACCGGGCTGCCTTTTATACAAAAACACCCAGTACAATCCAGTGTCTGTTCTGTATGAAAAAGTTGTTTTGGTCTACAGATTAACAATTCCCTTTAGACAGGCTCCATTAAAGAGTCTATCCAGAATGAAGAAAAACAAATATTTAGTTAGTTCCCTTCTGTGTTTTTGGTTATTTTGTTTAACATTATTATTTCACCAGCAAAGCCAGCTGGAGTTCACAGTCAACATCCTTTGCAACGTCCTTACATTCACTCCTAGCAAGGAAAGTACTTTTTAACCAATATAGCTTTCTCTGTATCAATAAAGTTACTTGTGAAGGCACTCAGTCTCCACAGATATGCTGGTTTTTTTTAAAAAAAATAATTTTAAATGAAAGCTGCTCTAGTCTCACAGCAGACAGGATTTTATTCAGTACCGAGTCTCCTCACACCACCTCCGACACACAGATGCCTTTTAGAGCTGCTGGCTGACAACTACAGACACTCCTTGAAGCAGCTCAGTTACCAGGAAAACTGGATCAGCACATTCAGTTCAAAAGAACATGTCTTTGGACAAGAATCCTGCCCAGAGTAAGAAAACTGTATTCACCCTATAAAAAGCATATGCCATCATGTGATGACATCGGGTCTGTCAGCGTTGCCTTTGCACAACCGGTGCTGCAGCAGCCTGACAAGACCGGCAGGTGTGGTTTGGGATCAGCCACTGATGGAGTGGCAGAGAGGCCCAGTCATCCACATCTCCTGCTCTGCAACTGCCAGGAAAGCAGCAGCACCTCGCTGACATCACCCAACACCTTTGGAATTATCCTGTCACATTTGTACAGGGTGACACCTAAAGAACCAGCAGGTTTTCATGGAGATTGTGAAACGCTGCTCAGGTGAAGATCTGCTGTTCTGTTCTCTTCCATACCCTTCTCACTGGCAAAGGAATAAAAAATAATACATGCAGCAGGTTCATGGAGTGACTCGTGTTTAAGAATATTTTTGATCCTAAGATCAAGAGAAATCTTTGAAAAAAGATCACCTCAAACAACAATTAGATTATTGTACAGGTCACAGATGAAGTTACACAGTAACAACTCACTTTTAAGTCTGCATCAATTTTCACCCTGGAAGAATAACTGAAGTTATTAAATGTTCTTTTCCGTATTCTGTTTCTTCCCTTCTGCTGGGAGGACACATCTGCCACATGAAAACTCCACACCTCCCGTGCTGGGGCAGTGCCAGCACTGGGTGCAGACGGTTTTACCACTGTGGTATTCTTAGTTGTTTATTTAAACCACGCTGATGCAGGAATTCCATTGGCCCTTCCAGTTCAATTACTTTTGAATTCCCTGAACACAGGCAGCATTCCTGCAATTCACATTAGCGCCAGAATTTTCAGGGCTACTTGTGGCTCTCCTTGGCCGTGTAGATTCAACAGCATCAAAGCAAACACTATCGGATCACAGCAAGGGAACAAAGTGAAGCAAAAGCCACAACACAAATTAAGGGGGATATCAGAGTTTCGAGGCAAGGCGGCAGGACAAAGGAAAACTCAGAAAACACCACAGCAGCTTTCAGCAGCTGCCGGTTACATCAGTCAGCCCTGGGGCAGAACGGAAAAATGCCAACGTCAGGATATGCGGGATAAACCCAGACATTTTCAGCAGGTGGAGAGCTGTGCAAACAGATTTTTAAGTAGCTCGACCAGACACTGTCTTAAACTGTGCCAGGGGAGGTTCAGGTCGGACATTTGGAAAGATTTCTTCACACTAGGGGTGATTAAATGCTGGAATGGGCAGCCCTGGGAGGTGGTGGAGTCACTGTCTCTAGAGGTGTTTAAGGAAAGACTGGGTGGCACTCAGTGCTCTGGTCTGGGTGACGGGGTGGGGATCGGTCACAGGTTGGACTCGATGATCCCAGAGGTCTTTCGAACCTAATTGATACTGTGAGATTTCCGTCTGTCTCTTTTCTCTCTTTAAAGTCGCGATTCCTGAACTTCCACCGCTGCTCCGTGGGTATTTCCAGCCTGTGCTGGCCGCTCCCCCGGCCCAGCAGAGGCCGGAGCGCGGTAGCGAGCTCCCTGCCCGCCGCGGCCCCGGCAGAAGGAGGTCACCCTGGAGGACTCGCCGCTCCCTCCCCGCCTTTAAAAATAGCCGTGGACGGAAGGAGCCTCCCGGGGCCGGCCCTCTTCTACCCGGCCTCCAGCGCCGCATCCCGCCGCGGGCAGCGCTGGCCCAGACACGCCGCGGGCCGCACTGACCTTCCCCGGGCCCGGCCCCGCAGAGCGCCCCCGGCCCCTCCGCGACTCAGCGCGGCCGCGTCCCGCGCCCGCCCCGCCCGGCCACGCTCCCCTCGCGGCGCCCCCGCATTTGCCGCAGAGTCGCGGGGCCGCCGCGGGCGGTGCAGCCCCGCAGCCCCCGCCGCCTCTCGCCCCGGCCCGGCCGCCCCTCACCTGTCCCGGCCGCCGCCGCTGTTGGTGCCGCCGGGGCCCGCGCGCCTCCTTCCCCACGCCGCCATCTTGGAGACACTCGCCTCGCAAATGTCTCCGCCGGCGGCCCGCTGGCGCGCCGCGATGCCCGACGGAAGATGTAGTGCGCGGGAGCGGCGGCGGGCGCTGCTCGGGGTGGGGCTGAGCCCCCGAAAGGACTACAAGTCCCGCAGTACCCCGCACCGCCGCGCCGCCGCTGGGGGCTCTGGGGCGCGTAGTCCCTTGAACGGGGGCAGTGGGGCCGGGTGGGTACCGCGGTGGGACCCCAGTGAGACCGCTCGCCACAGCCCCGTCACCGGTGGCGGAGCCCGGCCCGTCACCGCCTCGGCTCGGCCCCGCCGCCCGGGATCTTCCACCCGGTGGGAGGAGCGCGGCGAAGAGTCCCAGCCTGCCCCGCGGCCCCGCCATGAGGGGATGGGCTGCCGATGGTAGGCACCGCTCGGCAGGGTCAGCATCGCTTCGTGTTCCTAATCCAAAAAACCCAGGAGGTTCCTTCCCTTCGGGGGAATAGGGATGGAGGATCCTCCCTCCCTGGGAGGAGAGGGTGGGCGGTTTGGGGGTGAATTTCGCCCCCTTAATCAATCTCGAAAGAGGGGCAGTGAATGGGGAGGCTCCCCTGCTGCATCTCTGAGGAGGAATAGATCACAGAATCACTTAGGAAAAGACCTCGAGATCATCAAGTCAATACAAAGTCTATAACCAAACGCTGTTCTAGAATTGCAATGTAGGTTTGGTACTGCCAGAGCTTTCCCAGCTCCTGTGGATCCGTCCGAAGGTTTTGTGGGCAACCTGTGCACGGTGCTTGGACTGGTTATCTCCAGGATGCTTTGCAGGGCTCCCTCTTGCTCCCGGCCGGATTCCTCCCAGAAGAGGAGCCTTTTTCTCAGGAATTTTAAGTTTTCCCTTATCAAACAGCAGCTCCCTGTCTGTATCCCCCCTTTATTGGAGCCCTCCTCCAGCCTGACAGCGCACATCAGGAGACAGTGGCGCTGGCTCTGCATCCCCCGTTCCTAGAAAAAGCCTCTTTTTGACATTATTCCCAAGTGATTTAATGGGACTGAAGAGAACAAACCCCTGGCTGCCTCCACCTTCCCAGGCATCCCGAGGCTGCTCTCCCAGCCTACGGGGCCCTCCCACACCGCTGCTCTCTCAGCTGTATTTTGGGGGGCAGCTGTTTCGGGGGAGGTAAACTCTGCATTCACAGGAACAAGGAGGTGTTTGGGAAGCGTGCCCAGCCCGGCAGAACGTGCAGCAGTGCTGGGACAGGCCGGAGCATGGACTGTCTGGAATGTGGAATGTAAACAGAGTGTGTTACCAGCAACAGCCCAGCTACAGATCCCAACCGACCGTGCTGTCCCTTGGGAGCAGCAAACCCCACGCTCCTGCTGCAGCCCAGGGGCAGCTTGTCATGCTGGATCAAATCATACCTGTTCTCCACACCAACCTTCCTGGCAATCTGAGTTATCCAGACTTCAGCCTCAGCCTCTGTAGCCTTCACACAGCATTGGGAAGTGACACAAATGCCCTGTTAGGAGTGCTCAGGCTGTGCTCCCAGCCTGGAGGAGTACTGGCTCCAGGAGGGAAGGGCCTTGTGTCCCTCTAAGTCACCTTCCTGCCCACCTTCCTCTGGACAAGCACAGCTGCTGGATATTTAAGTATTTTCATGTCCATCTTAAAACAGTGGACATAAACACTGATTGCTCATTTGCAGGACAACTCCCAAAGACTGGCCTGAAATCCAAAGGAGGAATGATGAAGGTGAGCAGGGCTGGATCAGCTGGCAAAGGAGAGGAACCAGTTGTGATCCCACTCACCCTGAGCTCTGCACAGTCAGCACGAGGTCAGCCAGCCCTGTGACCTCAAACTAAACACAGTAATTTCACCCCTTACCTACTGTTCATTTTCAATGGGAGCATGTGGTCCCCCCAGCACAGCACAGCCACTGCAGCTCAGTTAAGCCACACTTTTATTGTATTGTATTCCATGCATTATGTTCATGTTTTATAGTATGACAGAGGGAGGGATCAAGATAAATGTTAAACATAAACAAGAGCAGAAAGGTTGTTTGTAACAGGTCCTGAGAAGGAAAGGCACATCGTAACCACCGAATCCAACAGAACGGAAACCTTGGACAGAGGAAGACAATGCTGGAGAGCGGATAAGGGAGGGGTTGTTTCAAGTTGGGGGCTGTGGAAGCAGGTTTGACAGCCACCTGCATTCACCCACCCACCAAAGGTCTGCAGTTCAAATGGGTTTGGGGAGCTCAGTATTCAACCAAACCACTTCCACACTCCTGTTGCCCGGGGAAAAGTCCAAGATCCCAAACTCCTCCAGGCTTAATCAGCACCAAGGGGCAGCACAGGTCTCAAAGCTCCTTTCTGCAGAGACCAGCTGGGAAAAGGCAGCTGGTGGGGAGGCAGGGAAGGGCTACCCAGCACCGAGGGACCCCGAGCCGGGTCCCACCCGGCCGTGCAGGGTCACAGGAGCACCGTGGACTGCAGCAACGCTGGTGACCTGCAGGTATTGCTATTCACTGGCATCGAGGAGGAGGGAAGGCTGGGACAGAGCATGGACACAGCAGAGAAATGGTTGGCACAGACACTGGCACACGTCTCTCTCGGGTCAGACGCCGGGGGGGTTGTAGCACCTCGAAGGGAAGCAGCAGCAAAACCGTGTGCTGTGCCTGATTTAAGGCAGCGATCGCTGCGGGTGATCCAGCGCCGGGAAGCACGAGGTTCCTGCCAGAGCAGCGCGAGGGGCTCCAGAGCCAGGCTGGGCACTGGGACACTGCCCAGACAGCACAGCACACCCTCCAGTGAGCTGACACAACAGGGAGCTGCTGGAGACTGCACACAGTGGAAATGAGCACAAAACCAGAACAGAGGCTCACAGCACTGGGCTCAAACATCGCTCCCAAGCACCCAGCCCCGCTGTGGCAAAGACACAAGTGTGTTATCTTGGCTTCCAGGGGAGGAAACAGTTCAGCTTCACCTTGGAATCAAGAGAAGGGATGGTTCAGTCATCACAGCAGTACCAGAGCCAGCCTTGCTCCTGTAACTATCTGTTGAAGTGTGTTTTGCATGTTAAAGAAGGAACATTTAGCAGCCCACATTTCTTCTTGAGTCCCTTTAGTTTGTTACCTGCCACCCTTTCCCAGTCCCTCAAAGCCACCCTAAAGGTCACAGCCTGGGTGAAATAAGCAGCAGGAGAGCAGAAATGAAGCAGAGGCAGGGCTGAGCTCAAGGCCTTTCCTGAGCCGCACAAGGCAGAGATGGCTGTGCCCCCTGGCACAGGTGGTGGGCATGGGCAGGGGTCTCACAGCCTGCAGTATGCAGGGCAGGGATGGAGTCTGGGAGGTCTGGAAGCCTGAGAGGGCTGCACTATGCTGGTGATGGGCAGCCCAAAAGCACAGGCAGGCAGCAAGGGTTCACCTCAAGCTGGTGGCCAGGGACAGCTCAGGCTGAAATCCTGGCACAGGGTCTCCATCTCTGGCCACTCCAACCAGGAGAGAAGATTGTAGTTTTTGCCTCTGCTACCATGGATTTTGTGCTGGGCTCTGGGACAGGGCTGAGCTGCCTCTCACCTGGGGTTTCAGTCATTCCGTGGCACAGATTGTAAACTTTAGTCCCCGCTGAGCTAAGCAAGGTCTGGATTTGGTCTCCAGGTGAGAGGCTTTCCATCTCCTGCCTGACTGCAGCCCCCAGGTGTTGTTCAAGGCTGGGTGTGTTGAAAAACATCTCCCTCACCACAGCCCTGCCCTGAGACACTACAAAATCCTGAGAGCTCAGTGTGAGATGCTCTGAGGTGTAGCTCAGGCCCTAGAAAACCCAGGCAAGGCAGGACAGGCAGCAAGCTGGAACCTGGCAGTGCCCTGCCATCAGGGTGTTACCTCTACATCTGAGTGTGGCAATGCTGGGTTGTGCTACAGAATTGTCATCCACGGAGGTAAGAGGGTGTTCCTCCCGAAATGAGGGTGTTCCTGTTGCTGGCCAAGGTCCCCACGATGCCACCAGTGCCTTGAGCTTGGAGCTGCGAGGAGGCCACTGAGCAGACAGGTAATGCCATGAGCCAGGGCTTCTTTCCAAAGGCTGTAAGGAGAAACCATTGGAATCCACATGGGCGCAGGCGCCTCTAGCACTGAACCCTGGAGATGGGCCAGGAGCAGTCCTGGAGGCCTCACTGCTGCTCTCAGGATGTCATGACAGGACTGATCTGGGTCACTGACAGGGATGCAGAGATGGAGCAGATGGGGGGAATGGGGCGAGCCTTCCTCTTCAGCTGCAGGAAACCACCCTGGTGCCCTGGGATGTCTCTCATCGCTTAGGCCAGGGCTGGCTGTGGAGCTGGGCTCTTCTCCTGAGCAGCCTGTGTCCACACCAAGGGCAGGGAGACAGGAATAACAGTCCATGACCCTGTGGGGATGCCACTTTAGGGTTGTGTACAGAAGCTGGCATCTCCAAGGAGCAGCATCTGCAACTCAGCCACATTTCTTCCTCTGCACAGACACTGCCACAGCCTCTGCAGTCCAAGTCCACTCTTCACATAGGTCTTGTCTCTAGGCTCGAAGGTGTCCATCCCAGTGTCTCCACAGCCAGTGCAGCAAAGCCCCCGAGGTGCCACCGTGGTCCACATGTTCTTGTATGATTGCATGTGGGCTTGGACACAGCTTGGTGCCCAACAGGGGATGGACCTGACACAGGGCTGGGGCACCTCCAGCACTTCCCTCTGTCCCACAAAGCTTAATCCACAGCATCTCCCCAGCTGCCAGGAGGAAAGCGGGGCTGGTACCCCATGACCACCCCTAATCAACATCCCCCAGCAACTTCAGAGATGTTGCCAAGCAGAGGGGAGAGGGTGAGGTGCAGAACAAGTCATCCCCTGGCCTTCCGATAGAGTTTGGTGGAAATATCACCCTCTTCTATCCCCTGGCTTGGGAAAAGCACTGGGGGGCACCACGTGTGCCCAGAGCCAGCCTGGCCCAGGGGCTGTAGCCATGCTCACACGTGGGCAGAGAGGAGGAGGTCGTGCCCACACTCACACGCCGCGTGGACACGCTTAAAAAAAAC